ACTACCACTACCACTACCACTGCCACGACCACGACCACGACCACGACCACGACCACGACCACGACCACGACCACGACCACGACCACGACCACGACCACGACCACGACCACGACCACTACCACTACCACTACCACGACCACCACGACGACTACCACTCGACGCAGGTCCGGCATCGGGACTGGCCTGAGCATGTAATCGAGAGGGTAAGCTTTAAGCTGAACTCTTGCCCCAGAGCCGAAGACAGAACATATCGAAGCTTGAACCTTTCAGCCAAGTTCCACACGGACTTCTGCTAAACTTAGGACGTTCAGCCGATGTGTAGTCGGCAGTTGACCAGAGGCGCGTCATCTAACAGGGCAGGCTCAGGCTCCATATCCAATAAAGCTCGATCGGCAGGAGTGGTCAACTGTCGAAAGTGCCCATCGTGGGCAGGGTAGGCCTGTATGTTTTAAAGCTGGTTGCCCGTGATGGCTGCCGGCAGGATTCGACCCAAAACGGCTGGAATGCGAATGGAGAGCCCAGGAACTCGCACAGCTACAGCCAGCCCTTCTGCTTTGTGCTCCCTTCGTAGACAGCCCAGCGTGCGGGCCATCGGTGGCCGGTCGGGTGGATCGTTCTGTGCCAGGGGCTGCACGAAAGCGGTGCAGCTCCCGGCCCCTGTTAATGTGAGCCAAAGTGCACAAATAGCCTGCAGGGTTATTCACTTTGATGTTCAGGAGGGTTCTGGGGCAGCGAGCCAGGATGCTGCAAGTTTGAGGAGTGGTGCAGCTGTCTGAAAAGCCGTCACTCTCTTACACGTAGTCGTGAAATCTTATGTAGTGATCGACGTGCAGGCTACGGACAAGCACATGACTCGGAATGCTTACGATCCAGCCTGGATCTCAGTCGATTACGATGACTGTCCACAGTGCAATCCTCAAGCTTTGCATGATCGTTTCCTTGGTTTCGGCGTCGTATTGACATTGCCGTATCTGAACGAGACTCGGGGCTTAGTCAAACAGTCTTTAGCAGTCGTGTTTGGACGATCTTGACAGTCGTGAGCCGAGTGTCTCTCTAGCTCTCCGAACTCACAGAAACGCACCCAAGCTCATTTTGCCCTCGCTGCCAAGCTCGCGGGGAAGTTCATCGACCCCTACAAAGAGGAGCGGCTGAAGAGCATCGACGACACCAGGGAGGTTTGGCGAGGGTTGGTGATCAAGCGCAAGAGGTTCCAGAAACGGCTGCCCGGCAAAGGTGGAGATCGCGATGCGTGGGAACGCCATGGTTCCTCCCTCCTACAAGGCGCCGTGGAAACAAAGTCGGGCCTCAAAGAGCCCCGGAGCCCTGAAGCCTTGAAGCATCCTATGCCTCGTCCGCTTCACGCAGCTATCGAACCTTGCCGCCCATGGTCGGCTGAGACCTTCAATGCCCACGAAGCGGTCCGAACAGCAATAACTTTACAATGTCTTCTTCTCATTATCAACCTATGTATTGATTTCTCATGTGATCGCTACTTTGTACGAACTTTGCCGAAGTACTCTGTAAGTATTGTTTCCATGAGTGTAGTAACCGTTCAGTACTGTCGGTTACTGTTGTCATCGCTAAAAGAGTCTCCAGTCTGATTGCTGCATGAGTACTAGGGCGCCCGCCCTTCTGACGACTTTTTTGTTGAACAGTTGCTATTCTTGTTGCCATCAGTATCACAGCTGCTTCTAGTAAACGTGCGTCGACACATTCCTCTCTGCCTGTCGCACTCTCTAGCTCCTGTGTGCAAGGGCCGCGAGACCGCCGCTTACGGCATCGTCTCCCACGAGGTTGGGGGCAGAGGATAGAGGGCTTGGAACGTTGAAGCCCTAAGTGTCAAGCTCTTCGGACCCTCAAATCAAGGGATCCTCCGAACAACTTGAATCTCTGAAATCAGACAGGGGTGGTGGCATGTCACAGTGCTCCGCAATTCCGGTGATATAGGGAGTCTAGGCAGTGGGATGATTCTTTTGGCTGCTGTCTGAGTCGCCGTCGGCGCCAGGAGATCCTGTCCATTTCGGCTGCCAGCACTTACATTTTCGGATAAGCGGTAATCAACACAGCCGCACCCCGAGATGCAAAACTTTGGACTTACGTGCCTGCCCTGAAGCCTCTGCGTGTTTGCTCGACGCCCGTCCCTTCTTTCAGATACGGGGCACTCGGCTAAGTACAGCTGTCGTCTTAAACCGATCCCTGGCTTCCCTGGGCCTGCAACAAACTCCGGGTCCGCCTGGAGTTCGAGCCCTACCTTGGGCCTTGAGCCTCAGAAGCACTTGCTTAGAGTCCGGGCCGTCCGGGTTACTTGCCTGAAGCATGCATGGACCCTGGGCGACAGATGGCCCAATTGTGAACACGAAGAGCATTTGAATCAACTGCAAAGCTAACATGGCTTTTGCGACTAGAAACTGTTGTCCTTTGAAAGCGTCTGGGAACCTGGAATATAGAGGTCTCCTGGAAGTTTGAGCCACCCTATCCTATCGGTCCGACTGTATCGGTGTATCGGTTGGCAAGCACGCCATAAGGATGCGCCGAGCGCAGCGGGACGAGGCCCTAGTGGCGTTGGAGCTGCGCTCGGCAGGCCCAAAGCCTCTTGACAGGACGTCCTGTGAGGATGAACAGCCAGATGGGTAGTTTTCTAAATTAGGGTCCCGTTTTGGTTCCCCAATATAGTACGGCACCCTTATAAAAAGGATCCCAAAAGGGACCCTAATTTAGAAAATTACCCAAATGAAGAGAAGCGGGCCCTAAGCCCTGCAAGGTGGAAACCTCCTCTACGAGTGCCGCCTCGACTCCGAGAGCACGGCTGCGGAGCTGCGGCAGCTGCTGAGAGAACGGCGAACGCCGCCCTCCCTGGAAGCCGGCAGTGCTTTAGGGTTTAGGGTTTAGGGATTGGGGTTTCGAGTCAGGGGCTGGGTGGGAGATGGTGGGGGGGGACGGCAAAGGCATTCTTCCTGCGGTGCAAAGAAGCTATCGTTCTGCTGTACCTTGCAAATGCCCCTGGATGCGAGCAGCGGAGCCTGGTGAACAGCCAACTTCCGAACCGCAGCCAGGACCCGGAGTTCACGAGCTTTTTGGTGGGGCAGGAGGAGCTGACGGATGCAACGAGCTTGACGCCTGTCTGAAACCGCTTCCTATTGCCAAATCCTGAAGCCAGGAAGCGACCAGCTAGTTTGTTTTGTTGTACGTCTCTTTGGAGTGCTGCTTGGAATTACTGCTCTCCAGACCTTCTGAACCGTGTGTCGAAGCCTCAAAGCGGCCAATGAGGGGGCAACTGACGGAGGGGCGACTGGGCACCTCTTTGGAGATCACGGCCGTGTGCCTGAGCGACTTTAGTGCGTTCTGTGCTTTGAAAGGCTTCCGAGGGACAGGGCTTCAAATGTCAGCCGGTTCTGAAGGCACCGCAGAGTGCGACAGAAGTTGTTCTCGGTTTGCATGCATCACACCTCTGCGCAGCCAGCAATCGCATACTGTTTTCATGGAAACCCCATGAGGGATAGCTGAATAGTTGCATAGCTACTAAGCCAGGCAACGGACAGTGCTAGTTTGCAAAGGCACGATGGAGGTTCCCGGGTTCGACGGAAGCTCAAGGAGAGAGCGCCTGGGACGATGCTGAGGAACTTTGGATTTTGCCCTTCGGCCTTTGAGTTTGTTTGCAGAATCTCAAACACGGTGCGAGGGTTTCGTGGATTTAGTGTCGTAATCCAAGCATCTCTGTGTCTCCGAGGGCCTGAGTCTCTGAACCTCTGCGAACGACGGCCCAGGTGCGCCTTTTTGATCAGTGGTCATTGAACAGAGCACGGGCGGAGAGCGATCGTGCCTCATCTGCGACCCGAAACAAGTTTGGGCACCTCTCGGTCGGTTTCTCTCTATTTTTGCTTCAAGGTTCCCTTGGTAGTTCGCCGAGGTTTCCCAAAAACTCAGGTTTTTGGATTTTAAGAATTTCGCTCTCGGGCCTCAGGGCTGCAAAGAGCTGACAGGCTTTCTGCTGCTTCTGGTAACTTGAAAGGTCGAAGAAACTTCGGTCGGTCGAGGGGAGGAGTTTCCGATTCTGCCCTTCGGGCCTTTGAACATCTCTGATTTGCTCACGGCCTTGCTGCGTTCGTGGGAGTTTGTTGATTCGTAAACTTCAGCCTCGGAGCTGCAAGCCATAAGCAAAGAACCAATGGCAGAACCAATCCCAGTCGGCAAGTATCGTATACCGGAAGGCGGGATGGGTGAGGATGTGCATCCGAGGCCTGGAGTGACACAGTCATCGACGAGCTGGATGAGCTGCGCTTGCGGGATCTGGTGGCTCTGATGAGGCCCCTCCACCAGATCGCACTGAAGGCCGTAGCACAGCTCAGCCGCTCTCGCCGAGGCGGATGGATGATAGGACTACCAGAGTCCTCAGCCTTTCGGATGGAGCCTTCTCTGTCCCAAATGCGTTTGTCTTCGACTGGGAGCGCAACCTGGTGCTCGTGTACTGCCCCGGGCTGTGCGCTGTAGGGTGAGGTTTCAGGGAAAGGCAGATGAGGACACCGGCACACATGAAGTTCACCGGACGCACTTTCGACGTCGAGTCCGCCCGGGTAGCATCGTTTAATTTGGCAAGACTTTCTTAATCTAGAGACCATTTGGTGCACTTAGAAGTAGCTGCATATACTGGAGCTTTCTACCCGTGTGGATGTGCTGAGGTGATCATGAGACGTCCAAGTATGCATGGACCTCGACTTCGTGCAGTTGTTGCAGACTACGGCAAGACAACTATGTCAGCACGACGAAGCTGGCTGGTTTTCGTGCAAGTTACCAACCCAGTGCGTGCCGTGGGAAAAGGTCCTTGCCTGTAGCATCTGAGGCGTGCGACACGCAGAGAACGCAGCATGTTAATCCTGTCTCGCAGACCTACGATTCCGACATGCTCCATCTCTTCGACACCTTGCAAAAAGAGCGCACGGACCGGTACAAGTGGCCTGCCGAGTTTGGGGATCGGTTCCTCCCCAGAATTTCGACTTCAAGCCTTTCCCATTGGCTAAGAGTCTCTCAGAATGCGTCTCCTGCTGACGGCAACAGGCCCACTCCTAGTAGAATCTTGGTTTGTAGCACTGTTCTGCGGATCTGCCCGCCAGGAATCGACACATCATCGATCACAACTTCCACGCTCGGGCCCGCCGACAGCACAAACATGTGAGCGATGGCTGTCGCAGTGTCCGAGCCATCTCTTGTGCCGTCAACACTTACGTAGCAGTGCCGGCATAGGTTGGGCGTTGTTCTAGTGGTTTCATTTGTGTGGCAGCGCTTGCAGGACATCAAGGGTGACCACATCCGCGAGGCTTGGGCTTGGGATTTGCAGGCTTGGGCCGAGAAACTCCGGAGGCAACGGGGTGACAATTTTGAAGGCCTTCAGTCATAGCCGCAATCGAAGATAGGTAATTGGACGCAAGAGGCCGCAGAACATGAGATTGGCATTGACTGACGCTTGGGAGAGTGTCAGAGACCTATCAAGCACTGTCTCATCATATAGAGCATATTGCAGCAACAGCATTGACTTGTGTTCCTCTGCGAGGTCCGCCAGCTGAACCGCGTGGCGCCAGAGAGATATGAGGAGATCAGATCCGTCGCACACGCCCTTGCTCTGAAACCTTAGACCAGAAAACGCGACACACAGGGCTGGGCTGCGAAGCTTCAAGGATGCAGTGATGGTCCATTCAGAAGACACTGGATTGCTTGGACAGCTTTGGGATCCTTTTTTTCGGGTTTCAAGAGTAAGGGGGTGGGGGGTGGGGAACAAACGGCTTTGAGGGTGTTTGTGTGGAAGTTGCGTGAAGTCTTTGGCCCGAATCCCAAAAACGGGTCCCCTTTGGCCTGGAGACCTGGCCCTTCTGCTTCGGTCTTATGCTCGCTTCATTGAAGCCTGCGCCCGAATCACCGATGAAAGGGCCCAGCTACAAAGCTAACCCCTACTGTGAAAGGTGAAAGTCGTTA